GGGTTGGCCCCCCAGCCCCAAGGGGCAGCGCTATGGGACCTACCGGGCAGCACTCCAACTGCTCTGCCCCCGGCTTCTCCGATTCAGCCGCTGGTCAGTTTTAGCAGTGGCTGAATCAGGGAAGCTGGGGGAAGAGCAGCTCCAATGGTCTGGCTGCCCAGAGCACTTCCAGGTTCCTGATGGTGCCGGACCATGAGGAGTGCCGGACCATCAGATGCCGGACCATCGGAGTTTTACTGTATACAGTTTCTAAGACACTCATATATTCTGAATGTGATCAAATAACTTTTTCTTATGCAGGTGCTACAGTAATATACATTATTATTAAAAATAACATATTTTTCTTCTGTTCGGTTATTTCAAAACTGTACATGCAGAGCCAGTTTCTGCAGTTTCATCCAGAAAACTCCTTTTGATTTCAGAGAAAGCTTTATACAAGTAAGTACCACAGGATTTGTTCCATAGTTACAAAGCAGTTTTTGTTTGTTTTTATTTAAGCTTCATTGTCACAGTTCTTGAGGTGCCCAGGACTGTGAATCATCTTGTTTTTCTTCATCTCCAGCAAAAGGAAGTCTTGGTTGTGGTAGCTGTGTGTTAGCTTTCTGACATTGTGTGCCCTTCAGCCATCCTTGACACTGGCAACTGACAGCATTTTCTGATCATCTTCACCCAAAAATGCATTATAGCCCAATTTACTAATTGTACCTTAAACCAGTGCTCCTGTAAACCATACAGCACTTGAGGGCATTTATAAAACAGAGGAAAATTTATTATAGTAAGAAAAGGGAATTGAGTAGAAATGAGGGAATGGTAGAAAAATTGGATACACTATAAAACAAAAATTATAAAATGTGACCCTGGGTCTTCACTTATCAATAATTTCTTTTCTTCGCTAATAAAATAGATTTCACTTCCAAAGCTTAATCAGTTGCAGAGTTGGCTGTTTTCATAAGAACCAGCATTCAAATGCTCCTGAAAGTACCTTTCTCTGACAGGGATTTTCTTTGGTGAATGAATATACTCTGGCTATCTCTATTTGTACAGCACTGTAGTGGTGAATCCTAGAGAAGATGCTTAATCGATTGGGGAGAGCTCTCCGGTCAGCATTAAAAAACTACCTTGGGGTATGTCTACACAACAGCGTTATTCCAAAATAGCATAGTGCGCATATACACCACAAGCCTTTATTTTTAAATAATGGTGAGCTGGAGGACTTCTTACTTCGACTCATAGTAACCCTCATTTTACAAGGAGGAAGGAAAGTGGAAGGAAGAATGTTCTTCCTTCAAATTCCTACTGTACAAAGAGCCAAAATAAGCTATTTTGACTTAAGCTATGCAATTGACATAGCTGAAGCCCTACTGTGTAGATGTACCCTTAGGGTAGCTCTACACAGCAAAATTATTTCGAAATAACAGCCCTTATAATAACTTTCCTAGCATCTACACAGCCAAACCACGATTTTGAAATAAATTCGAAATAGCGGAGCGCTTATTTCGAATTTGGTAAACCTCATTCTACGAGGAATAACGCCCAATTCGAAATAGCTATTTCGAAATAAGTGCTGTGTAGACACTTATATCGAAATAGGGGGCCTCCAGCCTTCCCAGGGTGCCCTGGTGGCCACTCCAGCCACGAGGAATAACGCCCAATTCGAAATAGCTATTTCGAAATAAGTGCTGTGTAGACACTTATATCGAAATAGGGGGCCTCCAGCCTTCCCATGGTGCTCTGGTGGCCACTCCAGCCTCAACCAAGAACACTTCTCTCCCTGCCTACCTCCCTGGAGCACTTAAAGGTGTAGACTCTGGCTACAGTGCCTGTGCCAGCCCCAAGTCTGCCAGCCAAGAGCCAGCAGTCACTGCCCCTGACCCAGTGGCCCCAAAACATGAGCCATCGAAATAGGGGGCCTCCAGCCTTCCCATGGTGCTCTGGTGGCCACTCCAGCCTCAACCAAGAACACTTCTCTCCCTGCCTACCTCCCTGGAGCACTTAAAGGTGTAGACTCTGGCTACAGTGCCTGTGCCAGCCCCAAGTCTGCCAGCCAAGAGCCAGCAGTCACTGCCCCTGACCCAGTGGCCCCAAAACATGAGCCAGCAAGCCATTGGCAGCCAGCCCCCCACTGCTTCCTAGGAGCAGTCTGCTAGCTCCTAGGAGCCTGCCAGGGCCCAGAGAAGGCAGGCGCCTTCCTGGTCCAGGGTGGAGATCATGGACTTTATTCAGGTTTGGGGGGGGGATGCCCCCAACATCCATATTCTCTACACTATATGGAGGAACGCGGCTATCTATGGCAAGGTAGATGCCACTCTGGCCACCAAAAGCCACATGTGAACCCAGGAGCAAGTTTGCATTACAATCAAGTTGGTCTGGCGGGACTCCCAACTCTGAGCCCTGAGCTTCCCCTCCCCCTTCTTCCCCTTGCTTCCCCCTTCCAGCTCCTTCCTCCCAGGTTTCCCCCTCCCCTCTCCTACCTTCTCTCTCTTCTCCCGCCTTCTGTCCCCAGTCTCACCAGAATTTCATCCCCCTCAGCTCCATTTTGTTAAATAAGGAGAGTTTGTATTTATGAAAATGTGTGTATTTTATTTTACACCAGAAGGGGGGTTAGGGAAGGGTAAGTGGAAGGACGTGAGGGAGGAATGAGGCACAAGCCCCCAGTGGGGCAGACCAGGGAGAGTGTCCGCACTGTGGGAAGTTGATGGGAGAAACTCTCCCATCAACTTCCCTTACACCTCACGATCCAGTAGTATACCAGGGCTGACATAAATGCCATCAGTGGTTGATTTAGCTGGTCCTTACTAGACCCACTAAATTGAACCCCAGGAGATTGATCTCTGGAGCATTGTTCTCCGGGTAAGTGAAGACAAGCCTAAGAACTGATGCCTTCATGCCTGGATATATTAAAGAACTGTAATCCGGCCAATGGGTATCAGAGGCATAAAAATCACAAGAGAAAATATAATTATGGCTTGTCATAAAAGAAGTTGTTAGAGACATTCTTTCATCTGTAACTTTGTATATCTTTTGCTTTCATGGATTTTATGAGACAGAGCTTGGAGTGCCTTGAAAAATCAGGCCTGTGTTGGTGATGAAGCAGAGGCATTTCTTACAGAACTGTAATCAGTATGGGATGTATGATGACTAGCTTTGCTGGCTGGTGGTTGGCAAGTCCCCACTTCCATTGTCAGCAGTGGATCTATCCTCAAAGTTCAAATAAGAAATGACATTTTGTTCTTTGATGGGGGGCTTAACCAGTACACACACTGTTAAGGATATGTCTGTGCTGCTTGCTCCTTACAGCAGCATGTGGAGTACATACACAATACAGAGCTCTCTACAGGCCAATGCAGTGTCTTCTCCATAGGCATTGTTGTGTCCCACTGCTTCCCCGTTACTAGTCTTTTCTGAACAATTGGGCTATGTCTAGACTGCAGGCTTCTTTCGAAAGAGGCTCTTTCGAAAGATGCTTTCGAAAGAGCCTCTTTCGAAAGAAGCCTGCAGTCTAGACATAGCCTTAGAGAATAGCAGGAGCTATGTTGGCAGGAGAAATTCTTCCATGGACAGCATAATGCACATGAGCCCTTATGTCTACATAATTTATGCTGCTTGGGGCATATGTGTGTGGAATCCACCAGATATAGGTTATAGCAGAGGTGGGCAATAAATCCAAGGTGGTTTGCCAGGGTTAGCACTTGGCAGGCCACTGGCACTGTATTTATCTGCACAGTCTCAGGTAACAGCCATTTATAGCTCCCACTGGCCACCAATCACTGTTCTCAGCCAGTGGGAGCTGCAGGAAGCAACGCCAACCGAGACACCACTTCCTGCAACTCGATTTGGTTGGAACAGTGATATGCAGCCAACAGGAGTTGCAAGCAGCAAGCAGCTATACCAGTGTATATGCATGTAAATAAAGTACTGGCTGCCTGCCTCTGGGGACCCATTTCTGGCAAGTGGACCATTTATTGCCCACGTCTGGGCTATAGTATAAACATAGCTTCTCTTATAGTGAAACAGTCTTTTGTCTTTAATCATACTTAGAGTGATCTCTCCTGTAACATTCCTTTTCACCTCCAGGAGGTTCTAGTCATTTGCAGTTGTCTTTGATGGTTTTCTATTGGCTGTTCTGGAGTGTGGTGGCAAGGGTTGACAATAGAAGCTAATATTACCTTGATGACTGACTAAGGAGGGGTGACACCTCCCTCTTGCTTGAATGAGCCATCACCAACACACATTACTCCTAGTGCAGTGGTTCTCAAACTTTTTGGCCCACAGACCACCCCACTCAATTCAGACTTTTCTGTGGACCACCAGCCAACCCCGCATGATGACAAAATGGATGCAGGAGGGCTGTTGGTGTGGGGTCTGGCCAGGAGGTAGGGTGCAGGAGAGGCCTATGGGCGGATGTCTGCCTGGGAGGTTGGGCGCAGGAGCGAGGTGAGGGTTCTGGGAAGGAAGGAGGGTGACAGGAGCAGGGTGAGGGTGTGTGGTCTTGGCGTGAAGAGGGTGCGTAAGAGGGTGGTGGTACATGAGGGGGATTGGCCGATTCTGAAGCCTGCCTTAGCACCAGTGTTCCCTGTAAGCTGAGCACTTGGGTGGCCACCCAGCAAAAATTCAGATGCTGCCCAGATGATTAGCAGAGCGTCCAAAGCACTCTTAGCCACCAGCATGAGTTTCTACTGGTGGTGCTCCTCTGCATATGCCTCAGAGCACATCATAAAATTTATTCTGCCCATGGATGAAAATGTTATAGGGAACATTGCTTAGTACTCCCACTGATCGCCCTGCAGCAATGAGACCCAGTTTCTGATATTATGCAACCCAGTACTGGGTAAAAACTAGGGATGTAAGTGACTAGTCAACTATCTGATAAGCATAAGCCAGTTAAAAGCCACTTCCCCCAGCACCGTTGCCGTGGGCGACAGGGGAAGTAGAGGTACAGCAGGAAATGGCACGAGCAGGGACTGAAGTAGTCTCCGCTCACGCCAGTTCTGCTGCGATTCTGCTTTTGAAATGTACAAAGCCCTGGCAGGGAGTACGGGGCCAGCGGGGGACTTCCCTGCTGGTCCCATGCTCCCTTTGGGGCTTCCTTTTCAAATGTACAAGAGCCCCAGTGGGACACTTGTACATTTCAAAGGCTGAGGCGCTGCAGGGAGTGTAAGCTAGTCCCTAGCTGGCCCTACTCTCCCTGCTGGGTTTCCGCTTTTGAACTATAGCTAGAGCCTGGCAGGGCTCCTGCTACAGTTCAGAGGTGGAGGCACCCTTATCAACTAATCCCGTTGACTAGTCGATTAGTTAATTAATCTAAATTTAACATCCCTAGTCAAAACCAGTGTTCCCTCTAAGATGTGGGGCAGCACAGCTTCACAGGTGATCAGTCAGCCCTGTCTAGTCAGGGGCTCAGGGCTCCTTGCACAGAGCTGACTGACTGGACGGGGCTGATTAATTGCCTGTGAAGCTGTGCTGCCACTCAGCTTAGAGGGAACACTGGTCAAGACCCACAGTTTGAAAACCACTGCCATCAAGCATATTTTCCATACAAATATATTATTCTACTGTACATACATATTGCAGTAAGACTGAGTCTTAACAAGTTATGAGCTTCCTTTAGAAATCTTCCATATTAATTTTTAATGAGTAAGATGTCTTTGATGTAGTGAGATTGTCAGGTCTGAGGTGAAAAGAATATGCAACAAGGGGACCCTTTGCCAAAGGCTCTCTTGCGTCACATTTGTGTATTTCTCTTTCTATATTTTTCTGCTTCTTGTATGTTTGTACATAAGTAAGTCAAGGGTTTGAACTGAGAAAGTATTTGTGCACAGTGCTGGGAATAAAACCATATCCTTTTGACTTTTTGTGTTTGTGTCTGTTTAATAAAGATAACAGTGGTGTGATGCACAAAACCATTTATCTAGCTTCCACAGAAGAAAGCTCAATGTAATTCAGATGATGGGTCCATTAACTATTAAAACCTATTAATAATAATAAGAAAAGTCTCTTAAGAAGTATTGCTCTTTCTCCTTTTATTAGACGTTTTTAATAGTCTGTCACTTCCATAAGATAAAATGTACAGCTACTAATCAGCTAAGGAGCACATATCATAACCAATATGTTTTCAAATCATGAAGCCGGAGGGCCAGCTGCTGAATTTTCTTGGCAGCTACTTTTATTGGTTGATTTTTTTTTTTTTTTGCATTATCAACTTAACACGAAAGTTGTCCTTTTCCAAGTTATTAACACAAAAAGCTTAACATTAAAGCAGGGGTTCTCAAACTTTGTGATACTGCGACCCTCCTCTAAGTTGCTTGTGACCCCCCCGGGGGTCGGGACCCACAGTTTGAGAAATGTGGCATTAAAGGAAGCTGTTCTTATGATGGAAATGCTCACTGAAGAGTGTTCTGTCCTATTCAGTTATCACCAGGCATGTCTGAATCAGTGGGTGAAAGGTTTGTATACCGTAGAATTTGTTTTCCACAGAAGTAAAGACCAGATACTAATAGAAAGATGGTAAAGAAGAGAAAATGAGGAAAAATTATACTTTATCTTTGCTTTTCTCTAGGTCCTGAACAAGATAGTATTTTTATTCTAGTCACTTCCAACCCTGAAATTTCTAAAGCAAGAAGTCAAGACAGACAAGCTGTTTTTCTCTCCTTCCTGCTCTTTCTCTGCATGAAGGCCACCTCAGCCTGGTGATTACAAATAAAAATTTACTTTGGGCTATTGTAAGTTTTGGAGCTGCTCTCGGGGAAAAAAAAACTTTCATATGAAAGAGAGCAGACTGTTGTGACCCTGCTAAATGACGGTGTCACCAGGGGGCAGAGACACTCTGAAAATAATGACTTGCATGGAGATTAAATCTTTTTATTTGTTTCTTCAAGAGTATGACACAGTAGAAATGTATCACCAATGAAATAAGAGCACAGGCACTTCAAAGAACTAAAAGACTTCCCAACTGCTATATTATACTCCGGACAACAGTAATAATCTGTCAGATTGGATATAGTAGAACTGTGTAGTGCAGGTGTCTCCAAAGAAAGTGAAGCGTGAGGAAAATGACCTATGAACTGAATCTAAACTTCCTTAAGGAATTGGAACAAGAGACAATTTTACAGGTCCTGTATCGTGATCAGATGGTGAGAAAAGTGGATGAAGAAAGGATAAGGTATTTTGCCTTTTTTGGTCTATGGCCACTATATCTCTGCTTTCCTCTCTAATCTTATTTCTTCTCTTGTCTGCAGTTAACTAGTATTTTCTTTGTCTAGTTGGGAAAACTAAGAGGTATCCAGTGTGTCATGGTATTAATATGCTAGTGACAAACTGTAAATTAGAATTGAACTAATACCATGAATTGAATAAACTACTGAATGAATTTAGCTTCTAGCATTCCAAGAAAAAATCAGACTACCTGCACAATAGTAACTCCCCCAGTAAAGAGTATAATAGTTAATTTTCTTTTATCACATTCACAGGTGTGCATGCACTGTCTTAGTTACAACGAATGATATCAGGTCTTTGAATCATTCCAGGAGTCTCATAAGAAGTTTTTGGAATCTCTTTATGCTGAGTGAAGCAGTATCCCATTCCATGTTAATTTTATGCCAAATGTATTGCATTTACTAGTCTGCAGTTTTCTATAATCATCATAGGATTTATTTGCTGGATGAAGAGTTTAAATTTAATTCTCTCAGTACCTTCACACAAAGTTAAATCTTTGACTTCTTTTGTTTCTTGTATGTTAGGTCTTTGACAAGGGTTTTTGGAACCTTCCAGCCTACTTTCGTAGGGTATGTCTACACTACCCCGCTAGTTCGAACTAGCGGGGTAATGTAGGCATACCGCACTTGCAAATGAAGCCCGGGATTTGAATTTCCCGGGCTTCATTTGCATAAGCGGGGAGCCGCCATGGTTCGAACCCCGTGCAGCGCGGATAGACGGTGCTCAAACTAGGTAGTTCGGACTAGGATTCCTATTCCGAACTACC